TCATCCGGGAAGTTCAGAAAGGGGAATTAGTGAAATTACAGAGACAACTTGAGTCAGAGGAGAAAAGAGACCAAATTAATATATACATATCTTGATTGATTCTTACATAATGGTTCTCTTTCTTTGTTTAAAAACAATTTACTTCCTTTGAGAGTTTTTGTTGACATAATATTGGTTTAAAATACTGTTATTGTTTTTACTGTAAAGATACAAATTACTCAAAGAAAAACTTTTTAAAAATATTCCCATTTCTTTTGGAAAGTTATTTTAATTACTGGGATTCTATTTTTTAATTTTTCCATATATATTCATATTCCACTCACCCTCAACCAAACCATCTGTACCAATACCCCACCGGCCTCCTTCTCCCACCCCTGATTTAAAGCATTGTATAGGTGTTTAGTATACAGTGCTTATCATTTTGGATATACTTTTACATTACAATCCCAAAAGAAGTTTAGTTTCCATCACTGAATAATTGATCCTCTTTACCCAGTTATCCACCCAATATTCATTGACTTGGCTTATATGGAATTCAGAATATCGACTCATTCTCAGTATTCCTTATATTCCCAGACACAGTTACAAATGGTGCCTCTAGCTTTTTAGTAGAGAGGGTGTCTGGGTTGGCTGCAGTGATGTTTGGGTCACGATTCTTGTTACTGAGCTGAGTATCAGCCATAGATCTTCTTGAAATTCTCTCTCAGAGTAAATGACCCTGGGCCAATAGATCTCAAAGTGGATTAGGATCTCAACCTTTGTGTCTCAGAACCACCTGAGATATTCACAGTACAGATTCAGAGTTTCTGAGTACTGGATCTTAAGTTGTGCATTTTAAATAAGCTTTCCAGGTGAGTGTCTCTGTGATGAGAGAACCCAATTCTTCTTTCTGGGTGTGGGAGCACAGACCCAGGGAATCCAGGTCTCTATCCTGGTCCAGATTTCTCTGAAATGTCCACAGATCTCAAACGAGTAAACAAATCTTGACTCTTATATTTAGAGAGAACTGACTACTTTTCCATAGAATGTGTTTATGTTTTGACCAAAGAATGAATGTCCTTCTACAGCAGAATGGCATCTGACATTGATTTGATGTCAGTTTTGGCAGTTGCAAGAAACACAATTACATTCTGCAAATAGGATTGAATCCTTCTTGGGCATTTTTTTCCTCTTGCCATAGACTCTGCAGTTATTTAGATGTTGACAGAATTGGATTTTGAGGGATAATAACTAGACTTTAAAAAATAAGCACTCCCAGAAGGAAAGGAATGGAGAGTATCAGGAAGGCTAACCTGTGCTTTGCAGCTCCCTTCATCTGGGAGCAACCAAAGCTAAATTCACATCTTGACTGATGGTCTTGCACAGGTGGTTATCAGGCTACACATGTGGTTATCAGGGTACCTTTCATTAAAACTAGTAATACATGTCCATATCTTATTCCTATCCCTAGCTATTAAAGGTGAACAGGATGTCCTGGATAAAATTGTAATTTGTCCTGAGAACCAAATCCATTTCTTACTCCCTTAGGGATGCTCTTACCCTATAAAAGTGAGATTGAACTGGTCTGAGCACAGAAACAAATTTATTTAAAGTCCTTGATGCCCTCCTGGAATTACAGGGCGTGGAGGAGAGGGCCAGGAACTTCCAGGAAAAGGATGATGAAGCAGGAAAATGTGGTGCCTCAGAGACCAAGTAGGTCTTCTGATGGAGTTGGGGTGTTCCTGTGTTTTTACCACCTTCTCTACTTTTCTCTTTGCCTCCCCCAAGTGGGAGATTGTTAAGGGGGTCATGCCAGGTCAGAGTTTTAAATCCAGCCATTCAGGGATAGCCTGCTACATCTTCAGAGCTGGGGAGCTTAATGGGGTCTTGGGCATCTCCAATCAGTCTGTTACATGGGGAGAATTGGCTTATTTGGGTGAAGGGAAGATACTAGCCTCCATTTCCAGTTATTCACCTTTTACCTATTTTCTTCAACTCATTCCACCTCTTATAATAAGTCAAAAATTGGTAGGAAAAAGCAAGTGAGAAAGTATCAGTCTGGCTGTCAGCTCACTCCTGCCCCTCCCTATCCTGGGGTCTTTCAATGAGAGAGTCTGTCTGTGGTCTCCTCAGCAACCTAGGAAACTGAAGAAAACCTGTTTTTTTCTTTTATTAAGATTTTATTTATTTATGCATACAAGAGATGTGGTGTAGACCTCAGGTGGAGGGTGAGAGGATTCACCAGAGACAGAGTGGGGAGCAGAACAGACAGATTGAAATACATTGCTGAGGGTAGCAGTGGATGAGACAGGAGAGGTCTGCTGTGCCATATATGTCAACTCCCTGGCAAGGGATCTAATTCTTACTGCAGATAGCTTCAAAGTGCTGCGCTTTAACCCCTTGTGCCACCAGGGAGGGCCTGAGAAAGTCTAGTTTGATTCCCAGTCTCAGCAGTGGGAAAATATAAACTGTCATGGGGGAAGGCATGATAGCTGTAGGTTTGTGGGACTGGTATATCAAATCGCTGGTAATAATATCATATTATTATTAACTGATATATAATAACATAATACTATTATGTTATTGACATCTAAATACTAATATACGGAGGACAAACTGGAGAGGTAGTGGAACGGGGAAGCACGTGGTGGGCATCACAACAAAAGAAACTACAGGCTGGACAGCAGTTCAGGGAGTCAGCTCTGAAGATTGACTTCCTGGGCTTCAAGATAGGCAAAGGAAATCCTTTGTTGTTGACTGTTGTTGAGAATTAAATGATCTTTTGCCTGAACATGCCAAGTACTCAGTAAATGTAATAAATGATAATTGTGGGCCCAGGGCATATGTTTGTAAAAGAAATGGGGTCTGCAACACTATTGGGAATTTCTTTAGATCTGTGAACTAAAAAGAAAAAGGCAAACTATAAACTTACTTTAGTTATAAAAATCCCTAATAACAAATGTAGTTACCTAGAGCTGTTTGTGACTTAATTTTTCTGCAAAATAATCATTTGGTTTGACTCCAATTCACATTTGATCATGATGTTTTTAATGACAGATGTGTTCACAGCTTATTAAAAATTAAAATATGTAGAGGTTATGTATTAACTCAGCTTCACATCTTTCTCTGAAACCTAAAGAAACACTGTGTCCCTGATTACACTTCTACTTTTATTGAACAACAACCACATTTAGATAAGTGGGGTAAAGAATTGAAATAATGTCCATATCTGAATAATAGAAGGAAAGTGGGTGGTATAAATTTCCTATTAAAAGATGAGGATTTTCATAGGAGTTGAATTAAAGTAGCTAATTACATTATTTAAAAAATATCAGTTGTAGTCATTGGAATTTTTCTTATCTTTTCCCTTTTTCTTAAGTTCTAAATATTTTTGTGTTCAGCTAACAAAGTAATGAGTAAATAATGTAATCCACCTCTCTATTCCTTCCTGACTGCTGAGAGTACATTTTTAGATTTCCTCTTTAAAACATTTATAATTACAATTTGTAATAACAACTTTAATTGATCTCTGATTGTCTTTAGGGAAGGATTTTTTTTTTTTTTTTTTTTAAAGATTTATTTATTTATGCATACAGAACTGGGGTACAGGCCAGAGGCTCAGGGGTGGCGAGAGGCTTCACCAGAGACAGAGTGGAGAGCAGAACAGGCAGATGGACGAAGTACACTGCTGAGGGGAGCAGCGGGCGGGTCAGGAGAGGTCTGCCACGCCATGTGGTCACCTCCGGGGCAGGCGGGGATCGAACTCATGCGGAAGTGGCTTTAGCTTCTCAGTGCTGTGCTTTAACCCGCTGCGCCACCAGGGAGGGCCTAGGGAAGGATTTTTAAACTTATACTTTGACCATAAAAGTAATGAAGGGCTATGGCAAATACTGGAAAATTATTAAAATAGTCATGATCATGAAGGATATAAAAATTATTCCAAATTCTGATATCTAGAAATAGTGACTAAAAACATTTTGGTATAATTTTTATGTTTCGTATGTTCATATTTTAAAACTTTTAAAAATTTTTGGGTCAACAAAACATGTATATATATATATATTCATTTTCTCATTGATCAAATCATAAATATTTCTTGAACATGAACATCTCAGTCTGTTTTCCATTTTCCTGATTTTTAAGTGTGAGATTTTTTTTTTTAAGATTTATTTGTGCATACGGAACTGGGGTACAGGCCAGAGGTGCAGGGGCAGCGAGAGGATTCACCAGAGACAGAGTGGAGAGCAGAACAGGCAGATAGATGAAGTACACTGCTGAGGGGAGCAGTGGGTGGGTCAGGAGAGGTCTGCCGTGCATATGGTCACCTCCGGGTCAGGTGGGGATCGAACTCATGAGGAAGTGGCTTTCGATTCTTAGTGCTGTGCTTTGATTCTTAGTGCTGTGCTTTGATTCTTAGTGCTGTGCTTTAATCCGCTGTGCCACCAGGGAGGGCCAGTGTGAGATATTTTTATAGCTAAGCTTTGAATCTGAGAGTTAATGTATACTTGTGACTCATTCCTCTTTGAAACAATGCACTATAAAAAGGGTTGAACTGATGAGAGAGAGAAAGTAAATGGAGAGCTATTATTGACAGCTATGAATGAGAAAATTGATGGTGGAGCCTACAGATGACAAAATTATTTTTAGTTTGTATATGTTTACGAAATTCTGATTACTACTGCAATTACAGGAGTTACTGTTAAAAAGTAATGTTTAGTTTTCAAAGATAGATTTTATGTTATTAGAATTAAAAATGTATTTCCATCATAAGAACAGGATGTGTGTAAAATAAAAAGACAGGAGCAAAGAAGAATTAGCTTCCAGGAGATGTTTTCTGATCTCATTGTGATTTTTATCACTATGGATATTCCCGGGAAACTTTTAGGAAATGCTGGGGAATTCCTCAGCATTGGATTTGGGCATATCCTCCTATCACACAAAGGAAGTGCCTCTCTATAAAGGCACTTCAGCAGGAGTCACACTCTGCTCTTCTTGGCTGACTACACATCAGATCTGTAACAGTGAACGATACCGACGAGGCAGCCACACCGCAGGGAGAAATTCAAAACAACCCTTGCAAAACAGTAAGTCAGGAGTCTTTACAAGATCAGCCTTGGACCATGAGTCCTTTGGCAAGCTCTACTGTATTCAGATCAGTTAGAAGCTGGCTTTTTTCCCTTTACCTAAAAGATGTACAATTTTTAATTTTGTATTTGTTCTTTTGAGCAAATTTGAAACATTTACTTTGAAATAAAGATTGAGATTGCAATGACGCTGCTAAAAAAAATCACTATAGAATAGAATATTCTGAATAACTGGACACCTAACATTGAACTCTATAACTAATTTTGTGCTTTCTCTCCCCTGCCAGAAACACATTTCCAGTTTAGAAGAACGATTGGAGTCATGATGGCTTCACAGATTCTCTCTGCATTCACTTTGGGTAAGTCAACGTCATTAGTTGACATTTCAGATTTTTAAGTGTGAGATTTTTACGTGAGGCTTATTCTTCCTTGTGGGGGCCAGTGCGTTGTAGGGTGTTTTGCGGCAACTTTGGCCTTACAGGCAATATGCTCTGCCCTGGGCCAGAGGTGATTTGCTTTACATCTTTGTATCTCAGTTTTCTTATGTGTGAAATATTGATCATAAATAGCTTACTTCCCAGAGGCATCGTGAGGCTTGAGCATTATGGTTCACATGAGTGCCAGACAGGACTAGGTAGCATGGTAATGTCCTCTACAAACTTTAGGGATTTCGATTGTTAGTCTACTCTCAAGTGATAATTGGTAGGTTTTGGTGCATAAGAGCAAGTAAAGCACTACATGGAGGGTCAACCACAGAAAAGAAACACAATAAGTAGTCGTTTCTCCATCCAAATCCCTTCTTACTTTGAAAAAGGTGAAAAATGCTGGAGTCATCCCAAAGACCATTGTATACCAAAATAAGAGAGTAAATAGTACAGCTAACAGCATCAAACCAGAGTAGGACTAAAATTTCCCATATTTTTTTTTCCCCTGCCTCCCCCACCAGTGCTTTTCCTGTTTAAAGAGAGCGCAGCCTGGACTTATAGTGCTTCCACAGAAAACATGACTTTCGATGAGGCTAGTGCTTATTGCCAACAAAGGTACACACACCTGGTTGCCATTCAAAACCAGGAAGAGATCGAATACCTGAATGCCACATTCAGTCATTCACCAAGTTACTACTGGATTGGAATCAGAAAGATCAACAACAAGTGGACCTGGATAGGGACCAACATGCCTCTGAGTGAAGAAGCCAGGAACTGGGCTCCAGGTGAACCAAACAACATGCAAAAGGGTGAGGACTGTGTGGAAATCTACATCAAGAGGGAAAAGGACTCCGGCAAGTGGAATGATGAGAGATGCAGCAAAAAGAAGCTAGCTCTGTGTTACACAGGTAGGTGGCAGTGTGTGGGGATTTTGTCTAATTGTTGACATGCTACAAAAATTGGTCTCTATTGTAGCAATTTAATGTTCTAGAAGAAAGAATTTCAAAATGTACTATTTAATAAAGTCTGCTTCTTTGAGTGAATAGAGGCAAGGAGTAGACACACATACATCACATGTTTTAGTTACTTGTATGGTAGTTTATGGCAAGGACTTGTTTATGTCTTTAAAGTTTGCTTCAGAGTGAATTTTCTGTGCTTTGCACCAGTTATAGCTATACCACTGACATTCTTCCATTAACGTCAAGGTTTAGAATGCATGAGCCTAAAACTCAGCTTTGGCATTTTTTAAAAAAAGATTTATCTATTTATGCATACAGAACTGGGGTACAGGCCAGGTACAGGGGCAATGAGAAAAATCACCAGAGACAGAGTGATGAGCAGAACAGGCAGATCGATAAAGTACACTGCTGAGGGGAGCAGCGGGTAGGTCAGGAGAGGTCTGCCACACCATGTGGATCACCTCTTGGGCAGGGATAGAACTCTTGCTAAAGTGGCTTCAGCTTCCTAGTATTGTGCTTCAAACCACTGTGCCACCAGTGAGAGCCAGCTTTGGCATTTAAAGACATTTCAGTGCCAATCTACAGCACTCAGTATCACTGGTGACATCAGGTGCATGCATGGACCCTAAGTTCCAAAGTCCTCATTATAAGCATCACAACAATCATCTTCAAATGGTTGTTTTCTGCAGCTGCCTGCACCAACACATCCTGCAGTGGCCATGGGGAGTGCGTAGAAACCATCAACAACTACACCTGCCAGTGTCATCCCGGCTTCAGTGGGCTCAACTGTGAACAAGGTCAGTCTCACCTTTTCTTTCACTTGAGTTGACAGCACCAACTCACTCCTAGTTGGCTTTGGGGTTAGGTTTGCAGGTCTTCATTTCTTCTGGCACATGATATCCAATGGTGGTTAATAATTGAGGCCAGGAAGTCATATTCTCTTAGGTTGTAAAAGCAGATCTATTATTTCTCAATTTTAGCACCTTGATAAGGTAGTTAAATTCTCTGAGTCCCAGCTTTCTCCTTGTAAATGAAGATAATAGTACCAACTTAGTGTTAGGATCATGTGACCAAATGCAGCTATAGTTGACTCTTGAACAACTTGGATTTGAGCTATCTGTGTTTATTTATACGAGGATATTCTTGTAAACAGATGCTGTCAATTCACAGTACCAAAAATACAGAACTGTAAATGGACTTTCTCTTCCTTATGATTTTCTTAACATTTTCTTTTCTCTTCTCTAACTTGACTTATTGTAAAAATACAGTATATAAAACAGATCACATACAAACTAAGTGTTTATAGATTTTATGTGATTTATGAATCTCTGGTTACAGAAGATTATTAGTAGTTAAATTTTGGGAGGAGTGTGTTGCAAGACATTATGGGGCTTTCAACCACATAGAAGGTTTTCAGCCCCCCTAATCCTCACAAGGGCAAACTGTGTAGGTTGGCATAGTGCTTGGAACCCTAGCAGCACCCCATAAACAGTGTCAATAATTTCCAGTGTTTTTCCCAACCACCTTATACAAAATGACGGTGAGCAGAAATAATTTGTTTTCTCTTTTCAGTTGTGACCTGCCAACCACAGGAATTTCCTGAGCATGGAAGTCTGGATTGCACTCACCCTTTTGGGAGCTTCAGCTACAATTCTTCCTGCACTGTCAACTGCGAGAAAGGCTATATCCCCAGCAGCACCGAGGTCCTGAGGTGCACTTCCTCTGGGGAATGGAGCGCCCCTCCTCCAACCTGCAATGGTAAATTTCGCTTGAAATATCAGAACATTCTTCCATCTTCCCCTTTTATCCAACTTCTCCCATTTTCAAAACTCCTGGGGAAAGTTCTTTTTGCTGTTGTTTTTAAAAACATATTCTCTCAACCAATATGTAAGGTCAATAATAGTAACTTCTGGGGCCTGAGAGGGCTTTATATTTTGGAATGGGTGTTTCTGAGATGCTAGTGACTTGTAAGAGGATATACACACACAGGGGGACCACACTAGAAATTTTAATGACTTTCTCATCTTTCCTTATTTATCTTATCCCATGCACGGGGCAAATTTAACACCACAGTAATCAATCAGTCTTGATAGCTGCTTCCTCTGCCACCCTCAATCTTATCTTTTTGGACCAGAGATTTAAAAAAAAAAACCCCTTCCTACACGTCCTGCGGGGCTAAAAGAAATGAATGTCCTGTGTATGTCAGATTATCTTAAAATTCATAAATCCTGTTATAGATTCTGGACTTTGTTGTTTTTGCTTATGAAAATGAAAATAGGTAATTTTAGAAAATAGAGACTCCCTGCTCAGCGTAGTTAAAGTAAAAAAATTTAATCAGAGATGATGAAAATATCAATACAAAAGCTTTCCGGGTTTTGTGCCTGTCCCCAAGAATTAACATAGGATTTGGATATCTACCCTTTGAAGGCAGCTCTCTTGCTCTGTTATAAACACTAGTTGAACAGGACATGAACATATCGTTCTGTAAAATTCATGCTGTTTTTTCAACTCCCCAGTGGTTCAATGCGATCCTTTGACAAAACCTGCCAGTGGATCCATGGACTGTTTTCAGAACTCTGGAAGCTTCCCCTGGAACACAACCTGTGCATTTGACTGTGAGGAAGGATTTAAACTAATAGGAGCCCAGCGCCTCCAGTGTACCTCATCTGGAAACTGGGACAATGAACAACCAACGTGTAAAGGTAGATGCTCCACTTCAAATCTGAATGTAAAATTCTTTTTCTCAACCTATTCTACAAAGTGGCAAGCCAGGCCTGCTAATGTAAATGGATGTATGTATTACAGCTGTGACATGTGGTGCTGTGCGCCAGCCTCAGAATGGCTCCGTCAGTTGTAGCCATTCGCCTGCTGGGGAGTACACCTTCAAGTCATCCTGCGAGTTCACCTGTGAGGAAGGCTTCATGTTGCAGGGGTCAGCCCAGGTGGAGTGCACTGCACAAGGCCAATGGACACAGCAAGCTCCAGTTTGTGAAGGTAAGAACTAGATTTCCAAATTTCCACTCTCCCTTTCTTAAAGAGCAGAAGTCTTCAATTTTGGATAATTAAAATGAAACTATATGTCCTATATACCCACTTTGATATGGAAATTCAAAATCAACCAGATTCAGTAAGAAACATTTCTCTTACATCTTTGGGATTTGTATAGAAGAACACATACCTGTACAAGAGAAAGTCAGTATGCAATAAGCGTGGATGCTTTGCTGGTTCCTACTGTGCTATGATAATGTAACTTTATAAACACTGGAATGAAGTAGGCAGAAATCTTCATCGAAGGGAAATTACAGACAATTTAAAAAGTAGGATCATGAGAACATGACTTTATTCCATAACTCTTGCATACCTTTCTTCCAAAATTGACTGTAGCTAACAGTGATAAGAATATTCCAACTGTGGTGGCAGATATGAAGACTTCCTTATGACATATATGAGCAATAAAATAAGGCAAGGGTATAGAAAACAAGCAGTTTTCACTATCAGATACTGGCATTCTCTTTAAAAAATATTTATTTATTTATGCATACAGAACTGGGGTACATGTCAGAAGTGCAGTGGCGGTGAGAGGCTTCACCCGAGACAGAGTGGGGAGCAGAACAGGCAGATCGATGAAGTACACTGCTGAGGGGAGCAGGAGAGGTCTGCCACGCCATGTGGATCACCTGTGGGGCAGGAATCAAACTCAGGCTGAAGTGGCTTCAGCTTCTTAGTGCTTTAACCTGTTGTACCACCAGGGAAGGCCTGATACTGGCATTCTTATAGTACAGCAGAGCAAAAAACAAACAAGACCAAAACTAAACTGCAAAACAGACAAATGTTAGTGGTTGCCTTCATACCTTCCTCTCTTTTCAGCATTATCTGTAAGCACACAGGACCCATAAGTTGATCTTTGATTACATAAAACCTTTTTTTTTGATCCTAAATTCTTTCATATGTCAGTACAACTTTGAGAAACCTCAATCCTGTTAAAGACTTGAGCTGATACCAATGTCAATGAAGGGAATAGAATCCAGAGAAAACCCAGCCCTGTTCCCAGTTTGTAAAGATAAAGACAAACCTTTGTCTAGAATGAACTGAGCCCATTCAAGTGCCATGTCCTTTCCATTTCCACTGCAGATATTTTCTGACCATGTTTTATGTTTCAGCTTTCCAGTGTGAAGAGTTGTCCAGGCCAGACAGAGGTTTCATGAATTGTCTTCTGAGTGCGTCTGGAAATTTCCAAAGTGGGGCCAGCTGTGAGTTCTCCTGTGAACAGGGATTCATGCTAAAAGGATCCACCAGACTCCAATGTGGCCCCACAGGGGAGTGGGACAACAAGAAACCCACATGTGAAGGTACAATTTTTGTTTTAATTTTAAGATTAAAAACTATTGAAGAGCTAGGGACTTTGTTTTCTTGAGAAACCTGAAGCTGCCTGATATAAACAAACCTCTAAACATCCTCTCTCATCTTCCAGCTGTGAAATGTGATGTGGTCCACCATCCCCAGAGAGGCTCTGTGAAATGCTCCCATTCCCCTAATGGAGACTTCACCTACCAGTCCTCCTGTGCCTTCAGCTGTGAGGAAGGCTTTGAATTACGTGGATCAGCTCAACTCGAGTGCACATCTCAGGGACAGTGGACACAAAAAGTTCCCTCCTGCCAAGGTAGGACTGAGTTCAGATGTTAATCAGTATAGGTGAAGTCCTTCCAGATCCCTGAACTTCTATTGTTCCAAGAGACTGATTTCCTGCATGCTGAACACTAAATAATGCTGCTAAATTATGTTCCTTGGTGATTTCCTAGCTAGCTTTAGAAGTTTTCCAGTAGATTTTTCTTTTTCTTTTTCTTTTTTTTTTTAATATTTATTTATTTATACGTACAGAATGGGGTCCAAGCCAGGGGTGTGGGGTATGAGGATTCACCAGGGATAGTGTGGAGGGAAGAACAAGCAGATGTTCTGAAATACACTGTTGAGGGGAGCGGCGGACAGGTCAGGAGAGGTCTGCCATGCCATATGGGTCATCTCCCTGGCCTGGGATCAAACTCATGCTGCAGTGGCTATGGATAGCTTCACAGTGCTGTGCTTTAACCTACTGTGCCATCAGGGAGGGCCCCCAGTAGATTTTTTTCTTAACCTCTACTTGCTTGCCTATCAATTTGCAGTGGTGCAATGTTCGAGCCTGGCAGTTCTTGAGAAGATCAACATGAGCTGCAGCGGGGAGCCTGTGTTCGGCACCATGTGCATGTTTGCATGTCCTGAAGGGTGGACACTCAATGGCTCTGCAACTCTGACATGTGATGCCACAGGACACTGGTTGGGAACACTGCCCACCTGTGAAGGTAAAGCACTGATTGATAGTGGTGTCTGGGGGACTAGAGACATGGAGAGGTGTTATATGGCTAAAATACTGAACTATCCATTATGTTCAATTCAGAAAAGTCAGGTAGGTTGCCCAGATTAATGAGCTGGCAACTATGTAATTTTACAGGAATAAGGGATAGCAGAAAATGTTATATGGTGATAGAAAGGGTAGAATTTTGACAATTGGACATTTTTCTTCTAATCCTTGTGCAAAGAAAAGGGCAACTGCATAGGATGGAGAGTCTTTAAATTCAATTTCTTCCTGTGACAATTTTTTCCTTCTGTTTCTTTAGCTCCTGTTGCATCCAATGTTCCCTTGGCAGTTGCACTTTCTGCAGCTGGAACCTCCTTTCTGACATTAACATCATTTCTCCTCTGGCTTCTGAAACGTCTTCGGAAGAAAGGTGAGAGATTTATGGATACACTCCAAAAATATTTTTTCTCATTGTGTTCTCTCTTGGAGATTCAACAGTATTTATATACTAGATAAACACTAATAAATTGCAGTATAATTTGAGCAGGAGTCTTAGGAAGAGAGTTTATAGTGTAACTCCATGTAACTCCAAGTGGGAGTGTCAGGAAATGTTAATCGTGCTGACATTGTACAACTTCAGGGAGTGCTTTAATACATCAAGTTCTGCTGTGCCCCTTAGAATTGTGCCATAAGATTGTCATGTGTGCTCCTGGGAAAATGTATAAAATGTTTCTACAAGTCCTACTTGGAATACAGTTTAAACTTGGGAGTATGTATTAGAGAATATGCAAGTGCCTGGGGCCATACTTATAGTTTAGCTATCAGAGTAGCTAAATTCTTTTTAAAATTAAGTATGACCTTTACAAATAGGAACATGCATATAAAAATCTAGATTTGGTACTTCTCATAAAAAAATGGAAGATACTGCCATTCAGATGGGGGTGCACTGAGCATGCTCTTGTTTGTGTTCTGATTATCACAGGGTCCCAACAGATCTTAAGTTTGCAACCCTATGAATAGAATCTTTTTGGTTCTGGGTTTGACATATCTGTAAAGGTCATTCAATCTAAATTAATACCTTTCTTTCTCTTGCAGCAAAGAAATTTGTACCTGCCAGGTAAGTTGAACTCTTGTACAAAGCATTCCAATGAGAATTCTATATATTTTTCTCTCTGCCTGTGGGAAAACAGTGCTTGATTTAGTTCTTAATGTTTTTTCACAGTAGCTGCCAAAGTCTTGAATCAGATGGATCCTACCAAATGTCTTCTGAGTTAATTTAAATCAGGTAAGACTTGAAAAACACACAATTTTGAGAGATGCTTTTTCACATGTTCTCATGATCACGGAACCCTCCAAATCTGCTATTAGCTATTTTTGAGGGAGGTGGGAGAGAAGAAGAAGATCACGTTCACAGTATTTTATGGAAAGTTGTTTCAATTCTTTATAGGAGGAGTAGAGGGCCGTTAATGATTCCTGCAATTTGTGAAAGTTATAATGATAATGCTGATAGCTAACCCTTACAATGCACTTACCACATTTTAGAAATTATTCTCACAGAAATTTTATGAACTAGGGGCTATTACTATTTTATTTTTATTATACATATGAAGCAAATGAAATATTGAGGAGTTAAGTAACTTCCCTAAATTCTCAACCAAACAAGTGGTGTAATCAGGATACAAATCCAGGAAGTCTAGTTCTGGAAACTGTGTTCTTAACCACTTTTACTTCCTTTTGGAAGGGTAGATTTTTAAAAACTATTTTACGATTTTGCATTGTTTTAGGTTTGTAGAAAAAGTGAACAGAAATTACAGTCTCCTCGCATAACCTCTTGCTCCATCCTCCCAGTTCCTCTATTATCAACATGTTGTGTCACTATGATATTCTGTTACAATTAATGGGCCAATATTGATACCTGATAATTAACTAAAGTCCACTAGGTACCAAGAGTTTTTGATGGATGAATAAAGGCACATTTCTGCCATGAGAGGATCAAACAAAATAGTTTCATTGACTTAATTGGTAGGGTCTTGAAGTTTATTTTTTAACTACCCCTATGAGGGTATAAGAGTGTTTGAGCTAGAAGGTAAATTTTGTTGTCTCTATTAGTATGTTAAGTACCCTGATAGCACACATTTTATATTTGCAGGTATAACCAGGGAACTAGTAGAACAAAACTTGAAGATGGCAGAGACTGAGAGCTCTCTGGATCCACAAGCCTCCTCACCTGCCGTACCTACCACCTTTACTGCTGGGACTGCAACACCCACAGGAACTTCGGTGGACCCCAAATCAGTGTGCAAGACAGCCTGCCTCCCAAAAGATACTGTCTTCTCTTTCTAGTCTCAGGATCTAGAAAGTGCTGGTTAGTCAAGGAAAGGATTGTCTCTTCCAGGCAAAAGTGAAGAAACCAAAACTTTCTTTGAATTCCTTTTCTAGTTCTTGCCTCACTGTGAAATCTTGATGGGAAAACATACTATTTTGTGGCATTGTTTGTTTGTTTTTGTCCCTCTGAGTGTTTCAACTGTTGATTATGTGTTATTGTCATAGGGAAGAATAATAATTGTCAAGAATTTAGAGGAAACAAACTGGCCAAAGATAACCAACTACTAACTACAAAAAATGACAAATTTTTAATGCCCATAAGTAACTGCATAGGAAAGCTTGCAGATGATGAAAATCTTTCTTAATATTCTGTGCAAGGATTACTAAGCACATTTTTAAATCATTTCTATCCCTATGGGATTCAGTGCTTTTAAAAGTCTCCTTAGAGATTGTGTTCTTTTTACTTGCATTGGATATAATAGAATCTTCCATAATTTCTAATGCAGTACAAGTGTTGTAGGGACTTTTGAGATATTTAAATATTAGGAATATAAGTTAGTTGTTTTGGGTCACACCTCTTTGTTAATTGATGAATCCTAATATTATAAATCTGTAGTAAATTTATTTCAAAGAAAGGCAAAAATTATTCTCTAGTAATATAATGTTAACCACTGTAACTGTATGAATGTTTAACTACAGTTGCTTTTTAAAATATGAATAGCATCAGGAATAAAACTCACTTGTACACTAAATAAATAGTAAAAATTTTATTCTGGTATTTTACCAGAAATATACAGTTTCCATGATGAATAATTTTTACAGGGCCAAATGTTCAGATTTGATAAAAGCATAAATGCAAGTGAATGAAGGTACAATTTTATAATGTCTTTGTTGAAAAAAATATGTATAATATAAATGTGCTTTGCATTCCTACAAAGCTGTGTGTCAGATGTATGTCACTGTATACTTCTTGTATATTACAAAAAAAAAATTAATCCATTATAGGAACTCACTATATAAAGGATTTATCCAGGGAATTTTTTTAAAAAGTGATATTTCCAATAATTATTTACTAGTTGTTGTATTCTGTACAGTAATGGTCTTAAAGAAAGGAAAGCCTGCATGGGAACCTATTTATATTTATTTATAAGGGAGTTTAAAATTCCTCAGGAATCTCCAGTTATTGGAGAGACTGGCAATGAGAAATTCCTTGACAGTAATAGTTGAAGCTGCTCCAAACTCATAAGGTATGAGAATCCAACTCTCTCACACTTTCCATAACTTAACACATGTTAAAAAGAAAACTTTGTAGAGGTACTGGATGCATATTGGTGAAGCCAAAGCTAAAATTAAACAGGAAGGTATAAGGATCAAAACAGCAGAGGTACTTAAGGAGCAAAGAAATAAGGAAGAGAAAAGTACTTATTGTGATCAGGCAATTTCTGGAATGGATAATTATTTTCTCTGAATTATGTAAAAGTTGTAAATATTTATATTTGTGATGGAAAAACCTGTGTGTGGCATATAAATATGTTTGGGTTTTATAAAATATTTAAAATTATTATTTAGTTTTAAGTGTATATTTAAGCAATATCACACTTATTGTATTTGATGTGGAACTATAAAGTTTGATAATAAACATGTTTATATTTAACTCTGTATGTAGGTTCTTTCTTGAAATTTTTACTTTACTTAGGTTAAACTCACATGTCATGAGTGAGTTTAAAAATAATACTTTCTTGTATATTTCCAAGATCATGCAAACATCACCTCTAATTTCAGAGCATTTTATCACCCCCAAAAGAAACCTAGTATCTATTAAAAACTACACTCTATTTTCTCTTCCCCCGTCCCTGATAGCTACTATCTAGTTTTTCCCTCTATGGATTTACCTGTCCTGGACATTTCATATAAATAGAATCATATAATAGGTAGCCATCTATTTCTACTTTCTATCAATTAATGTAATGTTTTCAGAGCCCACACACCTTGTGGCATGTATTGGTACTACATTCCTTTTTATGGCTGAATAGTTTATTTTGTGGTTAAATCTTTTTCTATTAACCACTAATGGATACTTGGGTTGTTTACCCATTTTTGGCCACAGTGAATACTGTTGTCACAAATATTTAAGTACAAGATTTTGAGTAGACTCATGCTTTCAATCCTTTGGGTACACATCTAGAAGTAGAATTGTGGGTCCCACAACTCATTATTTGAGAAAGAATCAAAACTGTTTTCCAAAAGAAAAGGAGGCTGAGCCATTTACAACCCCACCAACAGTGCATGAGGATTCTAATTTCACCACATTCTGTCTAATACTTGTTTTTGATTATCACAATTAGTGGAAGTGAAGTGATATTCACAAAAGCCCTTACAGCCTAAATATATACAGTCTGTATATATCTGAAAAGATATTAGCAAGCTAAAAAAAAAAATCGCTATGGTCAGTGAAACAAAGTCCTTACCCTAGAGTCTCTGCGTTATGCTAGACTCAAGTCCAGGTTGCTTGAATTAACTGATTCACCTTCATGTATGCTCCTGACTCAGTTACCAGCATTAGAGTCAGGGGATTTTTCCCCATCTAAATATATGTCTTCTCTCTTCTGGAAAGGTATCAAAGAGCATGGAATATATCAAGATATACAGCATCTGGAGAAGTTCATTGTACCTAAGGAAGAGAATATCTGAATTTTTTTAAGAAAACATACTTTAATTTTTGGCTTGATTACCCAGACTCCCCTTTCAACCCTAAACTGTAACCAAAACACTGTCATAGGCTACAGCTGGTTTCATTTTGATTTTATATTCTATTGTAGCTTAAAAGACTTTTAAAAAATGGAAAAAAAGGATAGGTTCCATTACTTAGATCTCCTTTTGTGTAAGACTTAAAAGGGCCCACACTTGAGATATCAGTTTGGCAGATACAGGCAACATGAATGTTGGTTTTTCCAGGCCTAAAAAGAGAATAAGTTGAACAAATTCATTTTATATAGAAAGAATACGAATGCCCAAGTCAATGGACATGAGCAGGTGGCAAACACAAAAGTGGGAAGGGAACAGTTCTCAGGGATAGCACCATGGGGTTAAAAGAGAGCTTTGTATGGAGGAAAACAATTGTGCTCTGGAGTATTTCCAGAGGTTTGATCATTGAAGAGATGAGAGAAGAAAAGAAAAAAGAAAAGAAAGAAACAGAAAAGGGATACCCAGTGAAGGAATAAAACCAGGAACTGACTGGTGAAATAAGATGCTAGTGAGTTGGCTGTTTAGTAAAGTAGGGACTTCATGAGGTTCACAGTCTGATGGAATTAGGGTTAAGAGAGAGTCGAAGGAGCCAACTCAAAAATACAAGCCTGGACATGTATTTATGTGTGTAGTAGATATTATTGATCCTTCCTAGGGGCTCTTGGATCCAGTTTATCCTCATTTCATCGTGTTTTACAAGCCCTTTCCAAGGAGTCCCGTAATAACCAAGCACAAGCTTTAGAATTAATTGACCGAGGTTCAAAATCCCAATGATTTTTCTTAACTATATGACAAAGGCAACTTCTTAATCTGTCTAATACTTCTTAAAATGGGGATAATAATAGTATCTTCTGATAAGTAGTAATATTTATATTATAAAGATTGGCAATATATGGCAAAACTATCATTATTATCTCAAAATGCATTTCTGTTTATGTCAGTGATTTTTTTTTCTCTTTGACCTTCATCACATGGGTCTCAATTTCATAGGCATTCTATCTCTTTCACATTTTACATTCTGAGAATATAAGAGTACTTGTAGGTTTCCAAGTTCCCCAGAGCAAGTAACATACTGGAGTGCTTAGCTCTTTCAGAGCTTGAATTTAGGAGATGCCATTAATAAGAACCTCCACTAGGTGGGGAGCAAGGAAAGAGAGAGGAGAAGGAGCTGAACTTAATCTAGGTTGTAGGTTAACTCCACTAAAGTTTGACAGACGTCATAAATTTGTCGAAGATACTGTTTTTTCTTTTTAGATTAATTTATTTATGCTTACAGAACTGGGGTACAGGCCAGAGGTGTGGTGGATGAGAGGATTCACCAGAGACAGAGTGGGGAGCAGAACAGGCAGATGTACTGAAATAGACTGCTGAGGGGGCCAGAGAGTGGGTCAGGAAAGGTCTGCCACACCACATGGATCAGCTCCCTGGTATGAGATCGAATTTGTGCTGCAGTGGCTTCTGGGAGCTTCATAATGTGGTGCTTTAACCCGTTGTGCCACCAGGGAGAGCCCCAAGATATTCTTTTAATTATGTGGCTTTTACAATAATAAGATGTCAGATGTATTAACATTGTCATCCTAACAGATCAAGATGTAATTTGTATTGATACTGTAAAGATATAATTTGTATTAATACTGATGGAAAGGTAGGAGAATCTGAGGGATTGAAGTTATCAATTACAAAGCAATGGGATGAAGAGAAGGAAAAGGGGAGGGGGGAGTAATATGAAAGTGTGCTGGCTGGGGAAGAAAGAGAGCTTTCAGGGCAGGGATAGTCCTGGCTGGAAATAGAAATTTGGGAGTCATCAGCATTTAGATGGAATTCAAAATCAGGAGCCTGGATTAGAACTGCAAGTTAGTGAGGGTGAGCATGTACTCCATAACTGCATAGTTATGGACTATGAACTATGAATGACAAGTTGACAAAATTTGATATAAAATAAAGAAAAGCCACTTGTTTACAAAGACATTGATAAGCAGACATATGCAAAGCAAGAACAGATAAAACCCTGTTTGTGCTGAAAGTTTGCTCCTAAGTCAAAATTAACCAAGGTATCCCAGTAACATACCTCTGTAAAGTAATATAAATATAGGCACTGAAGTTGAAGCACAGTGAGATGCTCTGGACTCCATACTAGAAGCCTTGAGGCCTTCTTCCAGATTTGGTGAGAACCAGAGACTCTGGCCTTGAAAGGTGGCAATTCTCCTCACAGATGTATAGATTCCAGGAGCTTAGTCCTGCCCACTTTTCTTCCAGTCTCTGGCAATTTTCCCAGAGTTCAGTACTTCCTCCCTCCCGGGCTCCTACTGACAAATAAATTGTATGTTTATATTATTGTAATATGGATTTCTCCAATAAATTCACTTACTGTTTTTGAGTCCTAAGTGAAAATTTCCTGCTTTATTGAACTTAGTATTCCAGAGATTCCTAACTAGATACAGCAGAAGATCATTCTGCCTCCATCATGAGTAGCCAAGAGAAAGCTGAGTGTTTTTAAAGAAGAAAGGAAAGAGGGGGAGAAAGGTAGGTCAAAAGAAGGGGAAGAAAGGAAGGAAAGAATAGGATGAAAGGAAGAGTGGAGAATCTAGCAACTAGACACTGGCCAGATGCTCTTTAAAAAACTAGATGGCCAAAAGACACCTGTAAAGAAAAGCTGCAAAGGACTAGGAGGGGGTGGAGAAAGAGAAGTAGTGGGGGAGGGAAAGTGGAAGGGAGGCGGGAGATCTGAGACCTGGTTAGTGTGAGGAGAGAAAGCCAGCCTTCCACTGTCACTGCACAGGACAGGGACCCCGACACCCTGTGGCCAAGTTGAGAGGCTGAAGGGCTACAGAAGATCTAGAGAAGAGCCCAGCAAAGACATGGTGAGCTTTACAGTCTAAAGTTTTCCAGAACCTCATTTCGAAATTGCAAGGCAAGTGGCAAAGGACAGGAACAACACATTTCATTTGGGGTTCAAAAAAAGTCAAGAACTAAAAATGTCCAAAATAGTGCTTTTGAATCTGCTTGCATGTGCTTACCTTTCCAATTTGATCTACCTGTGCTGAGGTTCTTGAAGAAGTATTATCTTGTTAAAATTAGCATTTTGGGGCAGCTAAAACCGGGGATGTCTGAGAGTGAAATACTGACGGTGTGCAGAAAACTTGTGGTCTTGACACTTTTGTTGCACAAACATACATTTCTTTTCAGTGAACTATTTTTCTTTGTCTTTTGGTTATTTAAGTTTTTAAAGGTACGTAAATCATTGAGTCATCATAAGAAAATGTGAACTTTTAAAAATAAATCTAGACATTAGCAGTTCACTAAGCACCAAAGAATATTTAAAAACGTACATTCTAAATACCAATAGTTCCACCGGAAGGCTCAGTAGAAAAGTAGTACAAAAGAGTATTAAAATGTAAAAATAATCAGAACCTTGATAATCAGCAACTCAAGAATAAGACATGAATAAAAAAAAATGCCTCAATTTTGAGGCAAATCAGGCTACTTTTTCACTCCTGTCTAAGAAATCTATTACCCGGAACAGTGTTAGTAAGAAGATGTTATGTTTTGAACTTTAAGAAAAGTTGTGGGAACCATCTCGAGGTACTGTAAACTTGTGATTTAAGAGTCTAAATCTAAGTATAATATTATGTCTTATTTGCAGATATTTCCAGGGAAATGTCAGAGTGTTCAGAGGGCTACCTGGGATGTCTTCAAATTGTGGGTCTGGACAGTGCTCTGCTGTGGTAAGCTGTATTGTATTTATACTTTCCCTTATGCTATGGCAAATAATATTTTTTTTATCTGAAAAGAAATGATTCCCATTAATTTTTCCTTTAGGAACATAAATACTGGCCTTTAGGAATGAATCCTAAGATAAAAAAAGTAGACAGTAAATCTTAGATTTGTGTGATAATGTACTTAAATTAGTTTTAAATGATGGATAGCCACTAAACAAAAGAAATGTACATTTCTAAAATATGTTGGTTAAATTTCTCTTAAAATAATTTTGAGAAGATTATTTCATGGAAATCTAGAAAGCCAGCAAATTTAACTAAAATAAAGCTGTAAGCAAAAGGATGCTCTATTATGGTAAAAATTAGGAGTAGGTGGGGCCCTCCCTGGTGGCTCAGTGGGTTAAAGCACAGCACTAAGAAGCTAAAGCCACTTCCGCATGAGTTCGATCCCAGCCTGCCAGGGAGGTGATCCCACAGGACGAGGCAGACCTCTCCTGACCAACCTGCTGCTCCCCTCAGCAGTGTACTTCGACAATCTGCCTGTTCTGCTCCCCACTCTGTCTCTGATGAATCCTCTCACCACCCCTGCACCTCTGGCCTGTTCCCCAGTTCTGTATGCATAAATAAATAAATCTTTAAAAAAAAATTAGGAGTAGGAGGTCAAGGCTATCAAGTGACCTTGCAAGTGACTAATTCTGTGATTCCGAGGAGGTAATTATATTCTTGAGGTATCAGTTTCCTTATTTCTAGGTGACTCAGCCTGGATTAATAGCCTGGTGCGTTTTAGCTGTAACAGAGCTTACCTAACTCTTACCTTTCAGATTTCCTTGCTCATCATGGTACTGACTGCTGGACTTACCATTATTCGAATAAGCCGATGAACTGGGAAAATGCTAGAAGCTTTTGCAAAAATTATTACACAGACATGGTTGCCATACAAAACAAAGAAGAAATTGAGTACCTGAACAGGGAGATTCCTGCCAGTCAGAATTACTACTGGATAGGAATCCGGAAAATAAAAAACCTCTGGACCTGGGTGGGAACCAACAAGACTCTCACTAAAGAAGCAGAGAACTGGGGACGTGGGGAGCCCAACAACAAGAAGTCAAAAGAGGACTGTGTGGAGATATATATCAAGAGGGAAAAAGACGCAGGAAAATGGAATGATGATGCCTGCCATAAAGCCAAGAGGGCCCTCTGTTATACAGGTAGGAGTGAGCAAGCTGCTGAATTGCTGAGGAAGGGCCTGAGGGAAAGGAATAGCTGGACAGAGCTGTGGGAGCACTGAAGGGAATAGCCAGACAGCAGTGGAAACTCTTGGAGAAGGGGCAGTTGCTAGTACCATCTTCAGCACTTCTACACCTCTAAATAAATCAGAATGATATCACTGCTGAACCTTTCTAGTGTGTGAAGTTGATTTCTACAGCCAAAAATTATCCCCCTCAATCAAGCTTCAAGGTGATAAGAGTTGTGGGGAATGAGGAGGAAGAACTAGAGGACCAATGTCCCTGATAATAAGGCAGGGAATTGTGTGCAGAGACCTGGGTCCAGTCAAGAGCTTAGGCTTACATCTTTGTTTCCTCATTAATAAATACAGGGTTTGGTCAATCTCTCTTGGCCTAATCCTAACTGATTCTGTAAAAACCATTATCACAGTTTCAAAGCAGAATTTTTTTTCCAAATCCTATTTAACAATGCGACATAGTTGGTTTGGTCTCTTGTAAGTTGGACTCACTACTAATTTAGAGAATTTGAACTTTCTCATCTTCATACTTTCTATAAGAAAAGGGATTTCCAAGCATAGAAGAAATTATTAGGATCAGGCCACCATTTAAATTACTGAGTACCTTAAAAACAAACAATTTTCAAATTTCTTAGTATGATACTGTTTCCCCAAAATGTTATAATCAATAATTTGATTCTAAAAACAAATATACATGGCTAGCTAACTAGTATATTATATAAATAAAAATTTTAGCATATGGTTTTTATGTAAAAAAAAATGCTATGAGTGCACAAATACACCTTTTCTGGTTATCAAAATAGTCTCAGCCAAAAAGTTGTCAAGTCTAAAGAAATGACCATGGGTACTAAAAAGCAATCACATTAAAAAAAATTTTTTTTTGATCCCCTTAAAGCTTCTTGCCATCCCTTATCATGCAGTGACCATGGAGACTGTGTGGAAACCATCAATAATTACACCTGCGACTGCAATATGGGTTACTATGGCCCCCAATGTCAGTTTGGTAAGCCCCTATCCTTTCTTTCTTTCTTTCTTTGTAAAGTCACTGGAGACAGTATAGCTAACAGTAGGGACACAAATAATACCAGCCATTCTGAGAAATGGGAAGTTTTGATCAGAGGGTTATGCTTGCACAATGTTGTTACCTTTCTGTAAATATTTCATAAGTCATAGGGTTTCAATGCACTTCTCAAGTCTATTTGAAAACCACAAAAAGGAAAACATTGAAATAAATCCTATAAGGATTGCAATGATGTCTATGAATTGGGCATAGTAGTTTCTTATGCTTGTGGAGCATATATATATATATATATATATATATATATATATATATATATATGGAGCAATAGATTTAACACATTTATTTCAAGATATATGAAGAAAAATCTATCCTTCTGCCTGGAAGGATTTAGAGTTAATAAGTAAATTGTACATGCTATATTTGAGCCTAATGGGAAACAAAGTAAACCGGAATAAGCTTATGGATTCTGGAGGTTGCCAAATGAAGGGAATCTGGCCTTTATTTGGCAATGGGAAAAGACTCAGTGTCTGAACACTTTTATTTAGAGCAATTACCCAAGAAATAGTGCATAGCTTAGACTGGAGAATAACACAAGAAAAGATAGAGAGAATCATTAGTAGTTTCTTGAAATTAATCAGAATTGTGAAGTTGGAAATGGAGAGGAGAGCACACACAGATTCAAAGATAAGGATTCTTTGACCCAGTCAACTCACTACTGAAAGAAACACCAAATATTTGATTGATGTTGGCCAAGGTTCAAAACCATGTTTGAAGTATCTTATGTGTAGAATAGAATAGGACTAAAGTTTGCAAAGTCTAAATATTTAAAGCCAAAATTAATTTTTCTGTTTTCTAAAATTTTTGTTTATATATCTATTTATATTATTGTATATTATATTATATTATATATTGTTCATTTTAAAACATTGTTTACTTCTCCCCTCCCCTCCCCTACCTGTCCTAACCATGGTCCCCACATTCCTCCCTCCTTCTGATCATTCTCTTTCCCTTTCTCCATAGTATTTCTCTGGCTTATAATTGTCTGGTTTTGTTTTGTATTGTAATAACAATACACTTTCCCCCCTTATGTATTATTTGGTTCTCTTAAATTCCTCCTATAAGTGAAACCATTTGATATTTTTCTTTTTCCTTCTGACTTTTTTCACTAAGCGTAATCCCTTCTAGCTCCATCCATGTTGCTGCGAATGGCATGAGTTGTTAAAATTAATTTAAATGTCGATCAACTGGCATTGCTATAAGTCATTTTACTTAAGCCTTGAACCCATGGTGCCTATCCTGAGTCCATTTCCCATCTTTATTTTTAAATCTTTTTATCATTGCTACATCCTTTAAACTCTTTTTTGAACATTTTATTCTTTCCTTTTTTTTTTTTTTGTCTTGGTTTCATCATTTCACTCTTTCCTGGTTTGCCTTCTACCTGGGACCATTTTTCCTTGAGTTTCTTCATGGGCACTTATCCAAGCCCATACGCTTGGGCTAATCTCAGCCTGTCTTTTATCAATTGCACTCTGCCTCTGTAAGTTTCTTTTGGTTATTGGCATTGTGGACTCAGAAATCTTTGTGAGTTTTGGATTGACAAATCTGTTTCCAACATTGATATGGTTAGCATAGACTTTGGGATGCCCCAAAGACTGTAAAACTCACTGTCACCATCTGACTTTCCTTTTTTTGCATTCCTTAGTTCAGTAATTGGTACTATTATTCTTAAGGGTGTTCCTGTGAGAATATCTCACTTCTCCCTATATTTATGCAAAGCATCATACCACACATTTTTATAACATTATTTGTCCAATTTGTTTTCTACTTGTCAATTCCACCACTTGTTTATTCCACCTTACTATTTTCCCCAAATTATTTCAATAACCTCTTAGCTAAGTTCTACAAGTTTAAGGTTATCTCCCCTCAAAGACATTATTCATATGACTGTCAGGCTCATCAATTAAAAACATTCAAACACTTCACATAGATAACCATCCACCCTTTAATTTCTACCTAACATTTGTCCTACAGGGTGGCATGTAAACTCTGCAAAGTCCAAAGTAATATTTGATATGTAGTAGATATTCCTTAAATGAATAGAGAAAGATAAGAGCATTCTGTCACAGATCTTCTCTTTCTCCCTAATCTCACCTCTCACCTCACATCATCCCTCCTCTTCTAGCAATATCAAAATTCTTGTAGTACTTCACATTTACTATGTATGTTTTTTATTTCATTTGTGGCTTGGTAAATTGACTTGTTCAGAGTTTTCCCTCTCATTTTGCATATGACTAACATACTATTTATCTTTAAAACACAATTAGGGGTCATTTATTTCAGGAACCACAAGTGGCATGGCAAGACCTGAAGTGTGATGACTGATTTCCAGTCTTCATTTGATCTACTACACCAACAGTCAGAACAGGGAAATAAATACAGTTTCTGGGGAAGGCTGTCAAAATCAGAACTGAATTTCTGGAACTGAGTTAAAGAGGCAAAGATAGTCTGGAAGCCAAGATGTTCCCAAAATTTTCTATTTTCTTCCTTTCTAACTAAGACTAATTATGGGCAACAACTTTTCTTTTTTCTGAACCATATATTCTAGCATGCTCAGTATCTCTGATATGCCAATTGTTTCCAAACTGAGCTAGTAATTCTCATTTAAAACTATATGAGTTTAAAAATTCTCTCCCAAATAACACCAAAAATAAAAGACTAGCTAATGTTTAATTAGGACTTCCTATGAGCCAGGCTCTGTCCTAAAATCGGTGACTTGATTTAAATCTTTTAATGTCCACACCAGCCCTTGAAAATTAACATAGTTATCACTATTCCTCTCTTTTAGATGAAGAAACTGAAATTGGCTTAAGTCATTAAGCATTAGGGACAAGGTTACCAGGTTTAGAGCTAAGATTCAAACACAGGCTTCAGGTCCTCCTGACCCTAATTAATATCTTTTCTTATTGAAGTGATTCAGTGTGAACCTTTGGAGGTCCCAGAGCTGGGAAACATGACCTGTACTCATCCTTTGGGAGACTTCAGCTTCAGCTCACAGTGTGCCTTCAACTGCTTTGAGGGAACAGACATGATTGGGATTGAAGAAACCACCTGTGGACCATTTGGGAACTGGTCATCGCTGGAACCAACCTGTCACTGTTCGTAACTGTTCAAATTAAAAGCTGTGAGATGGCATCGTAGTTTTACACACAGAGTAAATGTAGAAATCTATATTCACTTTTGGAGTGCAATTTATCCTAACATTGATGGCTTTCAAAAGGGTCATTGATAACTAAAGTGAAAAGAAAAATCACAGGTGAAAACAACCCCCAAATACCTTTGAAGTCACCAAATAATATGTATGTAATTTTCATTAAGACAATGTGCTTATACTGTATTATTTTATTTTTCTCATTGCCATGCATAAATGACCAATCTGGCTGAACTTAGTGAAATTTTGGTTTTTCTCTGCTCTTAATAATGCCTGTTTTTTTTTTTTTTTTTTTTTTTGTGGTATTCTACTTAACACCAACCAATTTCCTATTTGAGTAGAGACCTTTTTTGATAGTGTTATTTGGTTTATTCTTAAAATCATCTTTTACTTTCCCTCCTCTATGAACTCTCAGAAGAAAAACAACTGTTACAAAAAAACAAAAACAAAATCTCTTGATCTTTGTTTTTTCATGTGAAATGTGGTGGGTTTTTCTTATTAACCACCAATATTGTTTGGATTGGTGACATCCAAACTTGTGAAGTTTGGGTGACAGCTTTTATATTTATGTTCCTGACTCATATATTTAGGTCTAACTGTCAAATAAACTTAACAGAATCATTTATTGAACTCATAAAACTAAACTGACCAACTTGCTGAAGTGATTTTTTCAGGGAATAAGGATGATTTTTAAAGTTAGTTGGGTAGATGTTAGCACAGGTGAAAGGGTGAGATTTCTCACATTTACTGAGAATGTTCTACAAAATCTGAGGCAAAGGGCATGCATGTAGTATGACACCTTCTGCTTTTGGAGAATTACTAAATTTGGGGACACTGCCCTCCAACCTCCATTCCTTAAGGATGCTGATGATCTCCTGGCTTCAACTCTGACTCAATACCTTCTGTGGTATCAAGAAAATAAAATTTATTGTTGAAAGTAATTTCTAGAAATGAGAAATGTCCAGATTCATATGATTGGGTTTCATAGGAGAGTCAGGCACTTTGACAAAAATCCTTTGGGCAAGAGAGGGTCTGTGCTTAGTCTAGTAACTTTTTTCTTTTTCATTGAAGTAATTCAGTGTGATCCTCTAACTGCACCTGATTTGGGGACTATGGACTGTACTGACCCATTTGGTAAATTCAGCTTAACTTCTGTGTGTACCTTCAACTGCTCAGAAGGAACTGCATTAATTGGGGAGAAGAAAACTACTTGTAGATCACCTGGAATCTGGTCCAACCCCAGTCCCATATGTCAAAGTGAGTAACTTGTCCTGATATACTGAAGGTTAAAGATGGAGTTATAGATAAACAGAAAATGGAAAAGATTTATTGAATTTATTAAATTTCATTTTGTGAAAATATGTGTTGCTTACACATTAATTTTCTATAAAACCCTTGGCTGTCCTTGCCTCCTCCTTTAATGACAGCCATTTGGTTTTGTTTGTCAATTATCTACTCTTTTATCTTAGCTCTTACAATCTAAGTCCACTATCTCTACTAATTTATTGCTTATCTGTTTAGATATTCCACTGTAATCTCTATTTCTACATTAAAATGCTTCTACAAAAAAACACCAGTGACCACCTATTCCCCAAAGTAGAAAATACTTCTCAATTATCACTAATTGTGATAATTCTCAATTATCCCAAATCTCTCTGTTCCTTAGAAAAACTAGGTCTTCCTCATCTCTGTAAACCCTCCAACTGGCAAAAGGAGCTAGATAAATGCTCATTAAATTAACATGTGAAAGAGTTTGACCTTGGGGCCAATTAACTAAAGGTCTTTAAATGACATGATCTGTAGCAGCTATCACTGAAACTGTGTGGCCCTAGAAAGAATCATGAGAATGAAGGTGGTGAAGGGAAGTATTCCTGTAATGATTTTATACTGGGTTTATGGGATCTTCTGTTTAAGGATGAATGAGTGCCCATTTCCCAATCCTTGAGCAGCCAATAGGTGCCCTCTGTTCGGATCCTCTGAGAAGTTTAGTTTCCTTCCCATTATATTTTTGGGTGTGACTTGAAAGTGTTTATCAAAGTAATGTGAAAATAAGGGACAGTCAGACTTGCCAAAAAATAGAGGAAAGTTTCTTTAATTGGTGATATCAGAAGATAGATTTTTTTCAAGTAGGAATTTTTTTTCAATAAAACCCTCCAAGTAAATTTAATTCACACTTACAAAATTATATATCCTTTTACTTAACTGTGGAGAAACTGGAGGGGGAAGGTAGAGATGCATCATTCAAAGGCAGTTGTTTGCATAGGGGGTTTAAAGTAAAAGAATGGGTAATTTCCTTTGAAAAGTTGTTTCAGATCACTGGCTTTGCATTTTTCCAAAAGCATTATAGTCTTTTTAGTTCTCCTCTATGTTTCTGAATTGAATGAGGTCATTGATTAAGGCCATGAGGCTAAATATAATAATGACTACTTCTTCCCAGATTTTTATCCATCTCCCAGGAATTCCATAAGTCACAAATCTGGAATGGTGATTGTATTCACTAAGTGGGTGCATTCTTTACCTTTGCTGTACACTCATCTTGAGCCTCCCCTTGCCAGTGTCCTTACCTGTTAAGCAGCATCAAATGGCTTATTATTAGGAGACATAAGAAGGAGCAAAGTGGAATACCATGAGATGACACCAAGGAAATAATGTTATGACCTAGTGCTATGCACCTTACTCATTTCTCTTTCAGAATTGAACAGGAGCTTCACAATGATCAAAGGAGGTGACTACAAGCCCCTCTTTATTCCAGTGGCAGTCATTGTTACTGCATTCTCTGGACTGGCATTCATCATATGGCTGGCGAGGCGATTAAAAAAAGGTATGCAAGCTTATTTTCATAAAAACAATACTTTAAAGAGAAAAATAAGAACCCACAGGAATTAAGTATGATATTTTCCACTGAAGTAGTATAGTCTTTATATTTTATAGATATCAGTCCCAATACACTTTCATTAAAACAAATTGACTGACTTTTGTTTTTTAACTGACAAATCTTTAAAAAATACACATTTTCTCCAACGTGACTTTTTAGGGTGGCAACAGACCAATGGGTTACTCCATTTGTAGGTCTTTTCTCTCATTTAATGTGCAAAAAGGATGCATAATCTCTGTCCTCTAAAAGATGACATACTTGCCTTTGATTTCAGTGTGATAACTCCAATAGGAAGTAATTCTAATGTCTGCAAGTTTCAAAAAACTTTGAAAAAGTTTCAAAGCACCACTCCCAAATACCTGACATTCTCAAGAGTCCAATGGTTGTCTGACTCCTGACATGTAGGGATTACATTGTCCCTGAAAGAAGTCCTACATCTTCTCCCAGTGTCTAGTTACTGTAGTTGAAGTTTTAACCAAATGCACTGCTTCCTGGAGTAGTCAATGGAACAGTGCCAGCTAAGAACAGCAGTTTCACTCTACTCACCTCCCTTCTGGGTGTGTCCCAAACCCTAAAATAGAACCAACCTACCAGTCACAGGCCCACAGTAGAGGCAGACCTTTGGGATTGTGCTGTCATGTCGGGCCAGGAATATTATCTACTAATCCCCAGTTGTCTTGCACTATAATCTGGTCCTTCATCTAAAATTTAAGAATAAGGGTGCTAGATTAATTTCCTAACCATCCCAGAGAGACAGTGGAGGTGGGCATGTCCATGTATAAGAATGCCATTAACTGCAAAGTAAGAGTTCTGGGTAGTTAAATGTCCTGCAACTGCACCTGTTAGAAGTTCTGTAAGACTGTGTCTCATTCTCTTATGATATTATACTAAGTACATAAGGACTACACTAAAGGAAAATAAGGATGACATTTGGCTCATGCCACTATGATTTCAAAGCCTGATTCTAATTGTCCCTTCTTTCATCTTACCTTAGGAGATGATGGTAGAGAATAGATTAGGTAATTACTCTCATTTGGGTAGGGCCTTATTGTCTAAATAACCTCTGAAGACTTTGGGATTGTGAGTCACCTTAATGAAGAGGATATTTATTCCAAATTTCCAAAATCATATAATAAATCTAGTAGAATCAAATGAATATAAGTCACATGTATGTAGAAAGGGAGGGGGGTGGGAGGGGTGGATATAGTTGGGTAAGGTTGTTTCACAAGCAGTGATAAGAAAGGCAAAGGGCTGTATGGAAATATTTTTTGCATTGGAGTCATTTCAGTACAAGATCTCAAACCGATAACTTGACAACTGCAAGCTCCTGCTGTGGGAATAAGTGTGGGGCAAACAGGAAACAGATAACGGGTACTTAAGCTAGTTACAGTTATGCCAACAAAGAGCATAAGTCCCACAAGCTCAGTGACTGTAGGAACGTCAGGGTCTCATTCATTGGTAAAACAGTTTTTCTTCCTCCAACTTTCAAGTGACTTGTCTTCCAAAAAATGCTAGTGGTCTTTGAAACATAAAGAATAATTTCCTCTAGAGACAATCTTTGTAGGTTCCCAAGCTAAGCCCCCAGAGCTTTTCTAACACAATGTAGCTGAAGCATTTCCAAGAATAAAATATTTATTTGCAATGTTGCTCTCTTTTACTCGCTATATATGTATGTATTTACACACACACACACACACACACACACATATAAACTATCAATTCTCAGATTTGTATAGGTTTTTGACTTCAGAAAGTTAGGAAAAGGGAACAGGTGAATGTCTCAAGCATAACAACCCAAATGAATGACCAGTCTTGAAACCCATCCTTTTTGCACTTTGACCCCTGTCCTGATTATCTTGATATTCATAGTTTGCTCCTTTCTTCTGGGAAAGGAGTAAGGGTGGACTCTAGAAACATGTGCCCCTCTGTATGGGCTGGTTTAGAATTACCTCCTACCCCATCTCCATCCCACCTCACTCCCGTAACACTGTCTTCTGATTAGTCATTGGTCTTGTCTCATAAATGAGCAAATTGAGGTTTGCTCAAATTTTTTTGGTCAAATCTCTAAAATCCATATCAGCTGGGCTGGGGATAAGAATCAGAGGTTACTTTCTTATCTAGATATACTCCCTGGCACCACAGGCCTTGAGATTCATGAGATTCTGTTTCCTCTTTGTTGGGAAGAATTGTCCATCGGAACCAACTCACAGGGTTAGAGCAGGGCACTAAGCAGAGCACATGCCCCCCAGTTGCCCTTTCATCAAAAAGAAACTCACTCAGTGGGCACAGATTCTGCTGTGAACTGCTGTGTGTTTCACTTTTCCTAAAATAAAAAGATGAAGATAAATAAACCAAATGTAATTAATTCAGATTTAACCTCCTGCTCAAGAAAATTTTGTCCATGTCATCAGCAAGATAAAGTTGGGAAGAAATATTTTTAAAAGCAGCCTTAAACATCTTAATTATTGAATAACTGAACATGGTTTAGACTCTAGGTCTTACACTAAATATGTGGAATACATTTTATCCTATCATTTCAATGAAGAAGATATGATAATATAATAAAGAGACTGTGATTTAAAGTGGATAAACAGCTTTCAAAGACATACTACAGTAATAAATAGGACTTGTACCTAGATTGACTGATTTTCAAGCCAGTTTATAGTGACTGAAATATATTGCTCTCCAGTGAAGTTTTTCCCTCACCCAAAAGTTGTCTCTCTCTCTCTCTTTCTTTTTTTGTGCCTTTATTTCATGTGGATACTAACTCCACATAGTTCATTCCTTTATCTACTCATGTATATGCTGTTTTTTTTTTCTAAAATAGAATGTAAGACATTTACAAAATACATTCATTATAGTAGTTAAAAACATTTCAAAAATCAGAAAGAGAAGGCTGAAATTTGGGATAAAAATAAATTGGAAAAAGGGTTAAGTTGGGACACAAAAGTGTGTGGAAAAGTCTAGCTAGAAGATACTAGCTAGAAGGTCTCAGGTCTGGCTCTGGGTTTCCTTGAAGCCAAAGAGGGATGCATAACTGGGTATACTAGCCATTAGAGCTTGTATGATAAAAGTCACTAGATGGTGATAGATCTTAACTACAATTAGTGTGGTCATTTTACAATATATACAAATTCAAATAGCTATGTTGTGTATCTGAAAGTGATGCTATATGTCAATCACATATAAGTTTAAAAAATAGTACACACACACAAACAAAAGTTAAGGAAAGGAAAGAAAACAACAAATCAATTTCTCAGATGAGGTGTATAATTCCTCAGTAAAACTTCTCTCATGCATCCTCACAAAGATGGCATGCGATTCAATGACACATATCCTACAGCACTTACAGTGAAGTCTCTTAAGGAAGAATCTGCAGGTAGGGAGGAATACACAGGTGAATGGATGTTTTGGATTGAACCTTTAGGCAAGTCAGGGAAGACTTCTGTCTATAAAACCAGCACAGAGAATTGGATGGAGCTTTGAGAAGCAGCTGCCTCAGTGGATCTGTTTTGAGTATCTACCTGTACTTGAATCAGAACACTCAACCAAATTAGAATGCTACCTCAGGCCCCCTTTTTTGATAGAGATGGGACCACCTAACTGATTCATAATATACATTACTATGTAAAGCTGTGTAGAGGTTCCTTAAAACACTAGAAATGAACCTACCATATGACCCAAAGGACATAAAAAAACAAAACCACTAATTCAAAGGAAATCTACATTCCTGTTTATTGTAGCATTATTTACAATAGTTAAGATATGAAACAACCCAAATACCCCAAAACAGATGACTAAATAAAGAAGATGTGATATATACTCAGTGGAATATTACCAAGTGATTGAAAAGATAAACTCATGCCATTTACAGCCACATGGATGGATATCGAAGGGATTATGCTAAGTGAAACAGATCAGGAGAAAAAGTATCAGATGGCTTCACTTTCATGTGGAATATAGAGAACATAAACAAAGCGTCAGGGAAAAAAAAGGCAAAGTTGCAAGCTGAGGATACAGCAGGAGAGGAGGAAGGAGAGAGGTCAAAATAGGGAGGAAAGAGCACAAGGGATGGTAGTGATAGGCACAGGTGCTGTGGTGGTGGGGGAACTACAGGGACCACACTGAGGAGGAGAAATCAAATAGTATCCCAAAATTAACAAAGAAGTAAGAAAATACATAAAACCTTTTTTTCAAAATATGTACAGTGTACTTCAAAAGTCAGTGTTGAGAAGTATCTCCCTTCTTTAAAAAAAATTGAAAACTGTTTACTTTTCCTGATATAATTTTTTTCTATTTCTTTTATCTTTAGGCAAAAAGTCACAGAGAAGGTAAGTTTTATCAGTAAGTAGTTTCTACATCTGTTGATCTCTTGTCTACCTATCTTAAGATACTTCCTGTCACAGCTAAATGCAATTAACTAACATCAATGAAATAACATTTCCAGATACAGTGATAAATTTACTACAATAGCCTCTCTTAAATGCTGTGCATTTTTAGAGCTAAGTAAAGTGGAAGTGAATGAGTGGATGAATGGATGAATGAATGAATGAATGACTCCCTCTGAGGGAGGGGCAGTTATGTAAAGGGATTGCTTTCTGATCTTCCCAGATTTTTTTTTTTTTTTAGGAGAAACATTGCTTCTTCTGATTGCACATAAAGGCAATATTAAATGAAATAACCAGGACATTTTTAATTCAATAAACATTTATTTTTTGTCTCCCAGGCCCCATGAAAAATGTATAAATGTAGACCCCAAGTCCTTAAGGCCTAGCACAAAAAAGGAAAAATAACATTTATTGCACAGATAAACATTGAACTTTAGAAATATGGAAAATTAGGGGGTGTTCTATCTACAATTTCCCCAAGTGGGTAGATTTTCACTTTAGTTTTAAACTTCAGATTTCTCCAACTGAGTAGTAGTCAGATTGCTGCAACTGAGCAAACTCATAATGAGAAGTGATGCAGACATATGACAATACATGACCCATCTGGTAGAAAAGAAGATGCCAAAATCAGGGGTTTAATGACTTGCTTTGAAATTTTAGAGTAGATAACATAAGTAAAAAGAAATATGGAGCTGTGACTTTGATAATTTACAAAGTACTGAGTCAGACAGATGATCTCCTTTTAAAATGTTAGAATGAAGCAAAATGGTTCTAAGGGGTGGGTGGCTTGTTCTGACAGCCATTCTGCAAACCACAAATGGTTACTCAAAAGCTCTTAGCAGCTCAATGGGCTACCACTTAGAGTGCAAATGAGAAACTAGGGAGTAATAGAGCAATAGAAGCTGCTCATGTTAAATAGTATGATATTTGGTGGGGGGAGGTCTTTAGATAGCAGCAGAGGAATTTATGCAGGTGAATGTCATACTGAAATTTAAATTCTGAGGATTTTTACATTAGATCTAGGAGGATCATTCTACAAAGAGGCAAGGGGGAAGCCTAGGAAAAAAGAACTACTTTTGTTAAAGCTGATGGTAACTTTCTAAGAAATAACAGTGAGGATGAGTTCACATGAGAAAAGATAGAATCACCTGAATATGGTTATTAATTGGCTAAGCAGGTAACAGAAGAGTCAAGGAAACTGCCATGGCTCTGTGAATTGCAGATGGTCACTATCTGTACTGTGCTGTTTACTGAGAAGGGAAAACAAAAAGATAAGACATTTTGGTGGTGTGGATCTTTGGTTTAGTTCTATAAATGAGCTGAAATTGTCTGTGGTTCACATACCGCAAGTGGTTTCAGTAGTATAATCATCCAGGAAAAGTGTGCATCGTGAGAATCGAAGTGGGTATGGGTGAGAAGGCAGAATTGGAAGAACATCAATGGCAAATAAATCAGATGAAGACAGGAGAATTGGAAGGGTTTGCCAGAGAGGGAGTAGAAAAATGGGTAGAGTATGGGGCTGTGAATGTTAAGGAAAGAGGAAAATAGAAAACTTTTCAAAAGTCAGGAAAACCAGTTAAGTCACTGGAAGCACCTAGGGCATCATTGGAGTGTCTGATTTCAGGGCTGAGATCATGAATGAAATCCAGCATAAGGAGTACACAAGGATGAAAAGGAGAAGGCTGACATGCAAGGAGTTTATTTTAAAATTATTTGACTAAAAGCAGATGAGAAAAAAAAAGAGTGGTTACTGGACTGGGACATAGGGTCAGTGGAAGACCTTTTTTTCCATCTTATTTTATCAAGCTATCTTCTATTTGACAATCCTTCTCTGGGCTGGCCTCTCTCTGGCAGGAAATCCACAAGATGTATACATTTCTTTCATTTTTACACATACTGAGTGAAAGTCTTTTCTGGCACAACTTACCCAGAGCCCTTTTCTGGCCACAGGAACCACCTGTGTTTTAATTACCACTAGATGGAAGCAGGCCAATTCAATTTTTGAGTTGTCCTTAGGGAACAGATAAAAGGTGCTGGCAGGAAGAGTATAGCATTAAACCAAGGGCCATATTAAATGAAATGCCAAATTAAGTTTAAAGCTTCACTGATTTTTAAAAAATAATGAATCCTTCAATAGTTGCTTATTGAACAACTATGTGTTGGAACAATGCTAAGATTGACTGAGAGCCCAAGAGAAGTAAGTCTTTGTCTATAATCTTAGGAAGATTATTGTCTAGTTGAGGAGTTAAGACAGAAATATAGAAAAAAAAAGTCAGAAAAGCACAAGGCAGAATATGGTAATGGTCCATGAGTTTTGTATTGAAGAGAAAGACTTTAATATGGAAGTTTGGTGATCACAGTTCTTATAAAGGAGGTGGAAACTGAGTTGAAGGATAGGTAGGATTTAGGTGTATGGAGGAGAGGGGAGGCAGCAGAGTCAGGAGATGATATAAGTGACAACAGGACTGTGAAAACATGTTGGGCCAGAAAGAACAGCTTGGAGTTTGCGGTATATTGAAGTGCTGTGAACAAAAGCTAAATGAATCAACATAGGTCTCAAATGCTTCATCAAAAACTCCAGAAACACCAGAAAAGAAGAATGACTCTTCTGCCTAGGAATACCTCCCTTTATTAACCAGGGTGACTTGAATTAGTTGAATCATAAAATTTTAGTTCTCTAAATATTTTTGTAGCTATTGCATTCAAATTTATTCATCAAATAAATTTCCTAGAGAACCTAAGCAAGTGACAGTTAATTACAATAATAACAAACATCTATCAAACATTAATTTCACATTGCACTGTGGCCTTTGATATGTCTTCATTAAATATTGCCTAAAAGCCTGTGGGTAGGTACTATTAATACCCCATGTTACAGGTAAAGGAGAAATAAAACAGCTAACCTGACATTACTGAAAAAATGGCAAAGCTGAAACTTGGTGCCCTTCTGTATGCAAATATCATGCTCTTGACTCTTATGCTCTGAACTCAGGGCTATTGACTCCCCAGGTGCATTTTAGACACCCTCCTTTCTCAGTAATAACAACTCATTCACAATGAAACCATGGTGCAAAGACACTGAGGAAGAGTGTAGTGCACTACATAGAATAAACCAAAAGCAAAATGAACATTATCACAATAAATGCAATCTATCATTTTTCTTAAAGCAAATTCTCATAACTTCTGGGCATAGGTGGTTTCAATTCTTTCTGGGTTATTTTGACTCTTCTGCAAACTGGTTCTGTTTGTCACCTCATTTGGTTTCTGGTGTCTATAAATTCTGCCTAGGTAAAAACTACACCCAAGATACACAGGAAGATATGATGCCAACCTCAGAGAAGGGTACATCTGAAATTTTGTTTTCGGAAACATTTTTATCTTTGTCGTGGCAAGCACATTTGCAGCTGCTGAACTGTGGTTTACCCTAGCAGTTCATTTTGAGAATAGAGTCTCTGAATCTAGTTATCCCTGAGAAAAAAGGTATTAAGACAATCCTTATTTGATTCCAAGAAGGAAACTCTTTTAACACACCAAAATTAAATTTGTGAACATCTCCTGATGTCCCTCCAGAATCAGACATTTAGAACCACCATCATATCTTTTGTAAGTTTTGATTTTCTTCAATTTTTCTTAACATTAGAGCAAGATTTCTACTTTCTTGACTTCCACAGTTCAAAATATTTCCAAAATGTCCATTAGGTTCCTTATATCTAAAAATAAAGTCAGTAGGTAGGTATTCTTCTAAGTGTCATCTATGGGCCAGGAGCATTAAATGTCCCAGACAGCTAGTGCGAGGCCTCTCAAATCAGAGCCTGGGGCCTCCCTCATAGCCAAGGGGTTATGTTTCAGTACTATCTGGGCTATAACCCGAATTCGATCCCCAGCCAGGTAACAAAATCACATGGTGCAGTCATCCTCTCCTATCTCACCCACTATTCCCCTCAGCAGTGTATTTCAATAGATTTGCCTGTTCTGCTACCCACTCTGTCTCTAGTGAATCTTCTTACTCCCACACTTGTGCCTACACTCCAGTTCTTCTATGCAAAAAAAAAAGAAAAGAAAAAGAAAAAATAATAACCACCTTTCTTTGGGGAGTTGGGGGTGAGAATGTGGAAACATAAGAAATGCCCCTTTAAGGTTCTATCAATTCCATTGCTTTAGTGAATGTTCTGGGTTTTGTCCAACCCATTTGAAAGGTGTTTACTTTATTTCTCTTCTCACCTTTAGTGAATATCTACCCTTACTACTAACACTTTAATTTTTGCCATTTTAAATCTCCTTAGCTTAATTTGTATTCTCTTTTCATCACTCAGCAAGGATGACCCATATTAATCCACCCTGTGTTAAAGAAAAGTCTTGGGATACTAAAATGTCAATGAAGCAATCCTTCAAGTACATCCATGAAAAGTTTTGCATGGTGATGTCTCCCTTATTGAAGATGATGTGTGTTTCTTTCTGCGCCTGTGAAAAGACTTCTACACAACCAGAAACTGATCCTGCTTCCATGTTGCAGATCATATTCTGCACCTTACCTCCCAGTATACTAGAGAGGGTGCAAGTTTAGAGACGGTTTGTAAATTCAGTGTTATCTTTGTTTTCCAATGCCAGCAAAGTAATGGAGTTCTGCTCATGTTGTTGAAATTCCCATTTGCATTGTAGTCCCTCTTGCTGTAAGTAAAGGCCACCCTATTTAGTAACCTCCAATCTCTCCACCTTCTTCATCTAACTTTGCTTCTCAATTAACTCATTTCCACACAGAACATCTTGTGAGAATCATACAAAAGGAGATGAAAGAAAGCTACTAGCACTACTTTTTCAGTTTTACATTTTGCTGTCTCTTTTCATTAGATCTACTTAGATTTTTTTTTTATATTTGATGCTTTTTAATTTAATGACTGCTATATTGTTAATAAAAAAACAACATCCTGGATGCAGCTAGCATTCCATCTCTTTGATATTATACGAAAGAGTTAAAACATGGAGAGATTCCTTGGCTTTCACTAGAATGCTCCCCTCTTCCTCCCCCCCCCCACCTCTAATTCATCTACTTGGAATAGTTTCTAACTATTCTTTACAATACATCTCAGGCATACCCAACCCTTAATACTTCTTTATAACTAATCCTAGTTACAACTAGTCTAACCAATGGTAGTCTCAAGTTTCTGGGCACCTACTGTAAAATTAGTATATAACACACACATATTTTTACATTTCAATATAGGCTAGATTTAAAAAAAAAACAACTGCTACCCAGTTTGCTATTTTAAAAATCATTACATATTTGGCATTTTCCTCAATGAAATTCTATCCTTTTTAAGGCAGAGAGGATGCCACAATCCTAGAATGTGTAATTCATTTGACACCTATAATCAAATAAATTTTTAAAGTATCCAATGTACTACTGATATACGTTGCAACAAATGTGCACTTTCCATGACATGTGATGACCTGAACAGATACATAACTAATATGTATCCTCCTTAAAAACTAAGCCCCTGTGTAAAAACTTCTTTGCTCCATGGCCAATACAACTTTCATATATAAGCTGTATGAAACAACAAGAATTTTGTTCATGTTATGGGCATGAATTTTTGGTAAAGTTTACATTTCCTTTCTCAAGTTTATCTCATCTTCTGTATTACAACAGGGCTATAGCAAAATGCTCTCTACACTCTGATCACTATAAATCTATGAGGTGCCATTTACATTCATGTCATTTATGATGCATCCTTTAGAATTGTGCAGTGCACAATCTGTAGAGATGTGCACAGCAATCCTGATTGCAATAGCTTATTCAACTAAGCTGGCAATAACAAAGAACCCATGTGGTGTTCACATCTTGGGAATAATGTGTCTAGATTCGAAAACACAGTCAGTCCTATACTCAAGCCCCAGGGCCTGAATCATGTGATCTGAGGATTCACGTCAAGCTATCTCCCTTAAATAAAGATTCATAAGATAAATTTCTCCAAAAACCTTGTGTTTAACTTTTCTGAGACTTCTTTTCCTTGTCTATAAAATAAGCATGAAATACATCTTGTTTACCTTACAAGGTTATTGCAATGATTGAATCAGTATGAATATGCTTTGTGAACTGAACCTTAAATGTAGATTTCTTTTTTCACCCACATCTTGCTTTTCATGCTTCTTGGTATAGGAATCAATATCTCATACGAGGACTTGTGCAGGTTAGAGCCACTTCCCTGAGATTAGAAACTAGAGTGTCCTTCACTTGTGTTCAAATTGAAACCTGAAACCTGATGCTCAGATTTTCTCTGCAGAAGATCACTTCTGTGCTGCCATCTGCACCCTTGATGTGGTGATGTGAAAAGGCATGGACTGAGCCACCATCAGACTCACCATTTGGAATCCTGTTTCTACCTCTGTGGTTTGATACTATAAGTCATAAATGTATCTGAATTTCAGATTGATTGATAAAATGGGATATCATCATTTTCCCACACAGTTGTGCTCTAGATTAAGTAAAATAAGTCCCTTTACCCCAGAACCCAGAATACCAGCTTCATGAAATCAACAAAGGATATGGAATTATCCAATCTTCTGTATTTGTTCACTAGAGTTACATAGTCCTGGGTTATATTATTTTAGTTTTGTACAGAAATAGTTAATCAACTTAAGATTCAATTGTATGACCTTAACTCTGAGAAAAAAAATCAGTCACCTAAGTGACATACACATTCCATGTGTGACCCTCCATTTCATCCCTTGGCTTCCCTAAGATGCTCTGCTCTTTGACACCTATCTGAAACAGACCTAATCCCAAAATGGTTTAATGAACAATAGATGAGACAAGAAAGAGGCTCAGACCCTCCCTGGTGGCTCAGCAGGTTAGCACTGCAGTAAGAAGCTAAAGTCACTTGCGCAGGAGTTTGACTCCAGCCTGCCCCGAGGAGATCCACATGGCGAAGCAGACCTCTCCTGACCCACCCGCTGCTCCCCTCAGCAGTGTACTTCATCTATCTGCCTGTTCTGCTCCACACTCTGTCTCTGGTGAATCCTCTCACCCTCCGCATCTCTGGCCTGGACCCCAGTTCTATGTGAATAAATAAATAAAATCTTTAAAAAAAGAAAGAAAGAAAGAGGCTCATATTTAAATTATACTATGGAGAAATAATAAAGTTCTTTTTTAGACACTGATACATTTTGCCACCAGAGTTCCTATTCTCTGCTAGCTGCCTTTTCTCTTCATTTCCCCCTTTCCCTAAAGTTCTAAAGTGTCCCTCTTAAATTGAGCAATTTGGTTTTACCTTTTGTTTGTATATCTCCTTCAGGAAAGAAAAACTGTATCTCCAAAACAACCTATAACTTATTAGACGAAACAGGGAAATTATTAAGAAAAATAATGATGTTTTCACTTCCCTTTGACCTTGGCAGTCTTGTCAAATCTAGTGAGCTCTGGCATTTCATGAAATAAATTTAAAAGATAATAAACTTAAAAGTCCCTGAGTGCCTCTGGAAATTTTAAATGGAACTAAGCTTTAACCATACTCTTGGTAAGAAGTTAGTCCAAGTAACAGATAGCATGTGAGTGTTTCCAGAATTAATAGTTTTAACAGAAGTAGTAATCATGGTGATTAGGAGGGCAGCAGAGAGGTTTTTTTTGTTGTTTATTATCTTAAATAAATCTTGGTTGGCATCCAATGACTTTACTTGACATCTAAATTAAATTGGAAGAAAATTGCCTTTTTCTTTAATTAAATTTCTAACATTTTATAGGTTTCAGGTGTACAGCCTAATACATCAGCAACTGCACAGAATATGTTATGTTCCCTACTAAAAGTTTAGCTTTCATACTTCACCATACAACATACAATTGACCCCTTTTACCCAATTCACCTATCTTCCCTTCATCCCCCTTCACTTCTGTCAACCACTGTTTTGTTCTTTTAATCTATGAGTTTGTTTTCTTTTTATTTTACAAGATAGTTTGTTAAATCTCCTTGATAAGGTTCTAAAGCAGCAAGTAAGAGTCTATGGGTTGGCAGGAATGCAATGGTAATATGCAATGGGGGTTCTCTGTGTAAGGAAATGCAGGCAAGTTAATCTTCCTTGCTCCCTCAAGGCCATGGATGGTGGAGGGGGTGGGGAGAGAGGAAAAGAAAGGAGATAGAAAACAGTTGGGGGACCTCCTTGGTGGCACAACGGGTTAGAATGCAACACTGCAAGCTAGTCACAGCTACTTCAGTACAAGTTCAATCCTCGGTCCAGCCCTGGAGGTGACCTACATGGCACAGCAGACCTTTCCTGTTTCACTCACTGCTCCTCTCAGCAGTGTACTTCGTAGATCTGCCTATTCTGCTCCCCACTCTGTCTCTGGTGAATTCTCTCACCACCTCTGTACCCCAGTTCTGTATGCATAAATAAATAAATCTTTAAAAAAAAGAAAGCAGTTTGGAAAATTGTGGGTAAATGAAGAGCTCTGGGAAATCAGCCTGATTTCTGAGGACTAACACAGATATTAAGTGGCATGTTCCTCTCAATCAATGTTGCATAAACCTTTTATAAATAGTCTACTGAAAATGCAGATCTTTTTGGGTGACTTGGAAGAAATTTAAGGTGAAGGGGTTGCTTCCTTATTTTGGAAAAGTAGCAGATACAGGAGCAGTCACAAAACAGCAAAGTTGGAACAAAATATTTTGGCAGAAACAATATATCTAGAAGAAAATTAGGATTAAGGTGAGCATGGGAATTAAAATCTTTGGAATTCTGAGAAGTTCGAGAGGGTCTTGGAATTCCACAATATCAACATTTTAAGAACACTGTAAATGGCTTTTAAGGGGGTGAAGAGTTCCTCACTGACACCTGGGTTACACTCTTCATGGTTTTGAATCCTTGGCCACAACAATTATTCTAGTTTCAAATTTCCAAAAACTGAGGTTCAGAGATACTAAATGGCTCACTTCAGTCCAAATAGGTAGTGTTTGTTTAGTAGGTAAGAAAATATGGTATAAAAAGAGAAAAGGTAAAAATAATTACTCAACGTCAGTTTGATTTCCAAATTAATGTTGGACTTCTGGCAGGCCAAAAGGATGTGTCTATTTCCCAATCCACACCAAACTGACCTTTGAAAGGGACCCGGAGAGAACAGGTCATGTCTCTTGTTCTTATCACATTCAGAAATGACTTCTATATCTGGAGAACAAAGGATACTCAAAGTGTTCATGGAGTGACAAATCATGGAAGTATGCTTAGTAGTACAAGAGTCCTAAGGGAAGACATTGTGCTTTTCAACAAGCTAATTAAATATTTATTTAAAAGTTACTTTTCAAGAAATATTCCAGAGGTTGTAGACACATAGGAGGAGTCCTGTGCTGAAGAGTCAGCGTGTGGAAGAAATACCAGACTGAAGCTTGTGGAGTTTATACTGTAGTTTCTGGGAAAATCTGAGCAAGACAGGGACAAGATTACCATAACATTCTGGGAAGATTTACACGTTTGAGGATTTCAGAGTGGAGAGAAACGGATGCAGCGACACGAGCAGCAAATGTAATTATTCAGGTCTGGCGGTTAAGGTGAGGTCAGAGGATTCCAACATGAAACACTGTGAACACTTTGGCCTCTGACTAGTTGTGAAGGGACAGGGAGGGGAGGTCAAGGGAGTGAAACAAAATATTCATAAAGGAAAAACATCAAGCAAACATTCTGGTTAAATATGGTTTATGCAAATATTCCTTTTTTTCGAAGATCTTGCAGGAAAGTCCCTCCTTTGTTATATTTCCCCTGCATGAACACATCTCCTTTATTATTAATGTATTCAAGAACATGATCCAAACAACTCTGGATTCATGGAGAAAATGACAATGACCAAGAGAAAGGGAAAAACTTCCCTAATCAAAGACTTCTTAAGAAAAGGCACCTTCTCAAGAATAGTAATCAATTCTGACTACTTAAATAAAAGCAACCTGAGATTAGTTTAGGTAATATGATTTTTAACAGAGATCCTGATGCACACTGGTTCACCCTGTCTCAATGTGATGGTAAACCTCTGAAAATACTTGTTTATTGACTATGTGGTAAGTTTCAATTAGATCTAGAGCTAACAGGCTGAAGGCACATTGGTGGGACTATTGGTGGGACATACATATGACTTGCATATTTTGCTAATCACTTCTGTGTCATTGAATAAACTTTCTTTCAAAAGCATCTAACCACAAGAAGAGCTTCCAAACTTTTCTGTTATGAGGAACTCTCAAAGTTAAAAATTGCACAATGTTATTTTTTGTTCCCCATTTACTGAGAAATTCAGAAGGCTGGACAGGTTAAAAAGAAAAGAGACTCCTTGAAGTGATGGAAACTACGGCCCAGGGATTAGAAACTGCTGCTTGTTCCTGCACACTGCAATATCTTTAAACTGCCCAACTTTGAAGATTTCAGAATTTGTATTTTCATCAGACTGTATATTTACCTGCAACCCCCATGCAAAAAAAAATAAATAAATAAAACTATGCTTCATTTCATGGATATATATAGAACACTTAACAATCAGCCAAATCCACTGCATGTGGAACATATACTGTTACTATATCTAACAGTAAAGCAGTGTCATTTCAAATAACAAATAAAAGTCTCTTTTATTTGTTTTAAGTTAATACTAAAAGAAAAATTTTTTAAAATTCCAGGACACTTAAAATATTAAATGAGATCTCAAAAACTCAGAAAAAAGTTTGAATTATTTTAATGAATGATAATAAAAACAACTGTGGAAAGCAGTAAAAAAAAAAGTTTAAAAACATTTATTATTTTAATGCTTATAAAGGTGCTTCTTTGCCTTTAGATTTCTTAGAACTAGTCTTCTAAGTTAGGACACCTAACTTCTCTAACAGTTAGAGAAAGAATAAACCACAAGAAAATAAAAAGGAGAAAATAAATTTAAGAGCATTTCTTAAAATAGGAACAAAGAACAATAGAGCATCAAAAGTTAGGCAAACTGATCAAAGAAAATTGAAAATAATAAAAATATACAAAATTAGGGCTATTAGAAAGGATAGATCTAAAGATATTGCAGGGAGCAGAACAGGCAGACTGACTGAAATAGACTGCTTAGGGGAGGAGCGGGCTGGCCAGGAGAGGTCTGCCGCCATGTGGGTCTGCTCCCCAGCCAGGGACTGAACTCGTGCTGCAGTGGCTTTGGAGAGCCCCATAATGCAGTGCGCCAACCCGTTGTGCCACCAGGGAGAGCCCGTAGATAACTTTTTAATTAAGAAAACATTAAAACAACATAATGAACACATATCTGGTATTAAAAAAAATTTTGCTGAAAAAGTTATTTGCCAAATTTACTCCTGAAAAAAATAGCCTGAATGTTTTCCCATTATCATTAAAGAATCTGAAGCTGGATTTAAAATTATTCTCACAGAGTAAATATAAAGTTCAGATAATTACTAAAAAATCCCCCAGACCCCAAAAACACTCAACATTTTTTTTTAAGAATTTGTGCGTACAAGAACTGGGGCACAGGCCAGAAGTGAGTGTGTGTGGGGTGGGGGTGGGCAGGCAGTGAGAAGACCCACTAGAGACAGGATGGGGAGCAGAACAGGCAGATACACTGAAATACACTGCTGAGGGGAGCAGTGGGTGAGACAGGAGAGGTCTGCCACACCATGTGGGCCACCTCCCTGGCTGGGGATGGAACCTGTGCTGCAGCAGCTGTAGACAGCCTCACAGTGCTGTATTTTAATCTGTTGCACCACTAGGGAGGGCCTACATTCAACATTTTCTAGAGCCATAAAATAAAGGACTATTTTCCAATTCTTATATATTTTTTAAAGATTTATTCACTTATGCATATAGAACTGGGGTATAGGCCAGAGATGCAGGGGAGGTGAGAGGATACAACAGAGACAGAGTG